AATGGCTAAAATTAACAAGGCACGAAATGACAGATGTTGGAGAGGCTGCGGAGAAAAGGGAACCCTCCTACGCTGTTGGTGGGAATGCAAGCTGGTGCAGCCACTCTGGAAAACAGTATGAAGATTCCTCGAAAAATTGAAAATAGAGCTACCCTACAACCCAGCAATTGCACTACTGGGTATTTACCCAAAGATACAAATGTAGTGATCTGAAGGGGCACATGCACCCCAATGTTTATAGCAGCAATGTCCACAATAGCCAAACTATATAAAGAGCCTAGGTGTCCATCAACAGATGAATGGATAAAGAAGATGTGGTATATATACACAATGGAATATTATGCAGCCGTCAAAAAATGAAATCTTGCCATTTGCAATGACGTGGATGGAACTAGAGGCTATTATGCTAAGCAAAACAGGTCAATCAGAGAAATATAATTATCATATAATCTCAGTGATACATGGAATTTGAGAAACAAGACGGAGGATCATAGGGGAAGGGAGGGAGAAGTGAAACAAGATGAAACCAGAGAGGGAAACTGGCACGAGCCAAGCTACTCATGCTGTTTGACAAAGTCCAAGTATGAGGGACAATCCTGAAAAATCAGGAGACTCCACAGCTGGCTCCTGCTACTTCCTTTCATTTTATTTGCGGCAATCTTTATAATCAATTCTGGGGTTTCATGATAAAATGATTTATAAATTTAGTTATGCCTATGCAAGCAATCATAATGAAACTGATTCCAAAAAGGCCCACGAAGGGCCAAGAAGTAAAAATACCCAATGTCCTCCGATCTGTAAGGGAGCTGTTGGATCCAGGCCCAGTAAAAATTCCTATTGAGTTTCCTCAGGCACCTCTGAAACATTAGGATTCTAGGAAAGAGAAATCTCATGACATTCCACAGCACAGGAACCTCCCTATGTTGTATACAAAATAGGAGGCCACCTTTGGTATGCCCCTCGAGGCAAGCCCCTGGTGTAGGATAACTTCCTTGCCCCTACTCCTCCCATTCCCTATACTGGAGTTGATAATGAGGACAAAAACAAATGGTATAAGATTAAAGGAAAAAAGGGTGCAGGCATCATCTGACAGCCTCTGGGAAAGGAGTGATCCTCCGTGGTGTCTATGGAGCAAGGACAAGAGATAAAAATGGAATAAGTACTTTGATAAGATAGGGTGCACCCATTGTAAGCTGCCTTTGGAGAAAGTAGATAACCTTCATAGGTCACACTGTTTTCTAAATCCGAAATGATTGCGATAAAATGTAAAAAAGATCACATGGAAGAATGGAAAAACAAGGAAACACCCTAATGAATAAAAAAGGTCCCTCCGAGGCTATGGGGAGGGAGATGCTTGCAACCTGATCCTGTGTCCATGTCTCCTCACTCCCTGAGGCAGTCCTTTCCTTCAAGGACCCTTCCCCCGCTGGAGCTGGACTCCGGCAGGAGACAAACCATAAGAGACTCTTAGTCTCAGGAAAGAAACTGAGGGTTGGTGGAGTGGAGGGTGGTGGGAGGGATGGGGTGGCTGGGTGATGGGACATTGGGGAGGGTATATGCTATGGTGAGCACTGTGAATTATGTAAGACTGTTGAATCATAGACCTGTACCCCTGAAACAAATAATACATTAAAAAAAAATTAACACATACACACAAACATAAAAATGAGGGCAAAGTAAAGACATTTTCAAACAAACAAAAACTCAATGTGGCTCCCGAAGATCTGAGCTACAAAAATATTAAAGAAGTTTCTTCGAGCGGAAGAAAAATGATACTAGATAGAAATATGGATCTCCATGAATGAATGAACAACAGACACTAAAAACTTAATGATTTTAATTTATTTAAATGATAATTGCATAAATAAAAATAGCAGTGTTACATCATGGGGTTCGCAACATAGATAGAAGTAAAATTTGTGAAAACAACAGCACAAAGGATGGGAAGGGCAGGTGAATTATATTGTTGTGAGGTGCTTAAGTTTTCCATGAAATAGTTTAATATTTGAAAGTAGATAGTAATAAGTTAAGATGTGCATTGTAAGCCTTATGGCAACCACTGAAAAAATAAAACAAGTATAGCTAATAAGCCACAAAAGGAGATACATGAAATACTAAAAAAGAATTAAATCCAATGGAAGGAAGGAAAAGAGGAAAAATAACAACAGATGGAACAAAAAGAAAACAGCAAGATGGCAGACTTAAACTCAACCATACTGATAATTACAAAAACGTAAACAAGCAGAGCCTATCAGACTGGCCCAAAAAACAAAACCTGAATATATGGTGTCTGGAAGAAACACAATTTAAAGGTAAAGACACAGATAGTTTAAAGTAAAAGGGTTGAAAAAGACACACTATGTACACATTAGACATAAGAAAGCTGGAGGGGCTGAGTGGTTATATTATCAGACAGAGAAGACTCAAAGATATAGAGAGATATTTTCATAATATCAAAGATGTTGAAAAATATTAACTATCATATGCATTTAATAACAGAGTTTCAAAATATGTTGAAGCAAGAACTGACATAATTGCAAGGAGAAATAGACAAATCCAGAACTAGAGTTGGGGACCTCTGCACTCTTCTCTCAGTAACTAATAGGACAGATTGTTAGAAAATTTTTAAGTATGTACAAGACATGAACCCTATCCTCTAACTTGGGTTTTATAAATGATTGACATTTATAAAACACTATACCCAACAATTGCAGAATAATGATTCTTTTCATGCACATGTAGAAATTCACCAAGGGAGACCATATGCTGGGCCATAAAATAACGCAATACATTTAAATAGATTGAAATCATACAGAGTACATTCTCAGACCACAGTGATATTTAGGAATCAGTAACAAAAAAAAAGATATCTGAAAAATCCTCAAATATGTGAAAATTAACACATTTTAAAATAATTCATGGACCAAAGAAGAAATCACAAGGGAAATAAAATATCTAAATGGTAATGAAGGACAAAATGCCAAAATTTGTGGGGTACAGAAAGGATTGTGTAGAGGGAAGATTATAACCTTATGTAAGTAAAGGAGAAAATTTTACAGTAAATGATCTGAGTTTCCTCCTTAAGAAGATAGAAACACAGGAGTAAGCTAAGCCCAAAGCATGTAGAAGGAGGGAAATAATCAAGTGAAAGCAGAACAATGAAACAGAAAATGGAGGAAATAAATGAAACCCAAAACTGAAAATATCAATGAAACTGATAGTCTTCTAGCTAGAGTAATCAATTCCCCTCAAAAAGAAAATGCAAATTACCAACAGTAAGGAAAGAAGGGAGATAGTTATAGATCCTACAGGCATTAAAAGGAGAAAATCTTTATGACCCTGCAATATGCCAAGATTTCTTAGATGGGTCACCAAAAGCACTAACCATAACAAAAAAGATTGATAAACTGGACTTCAACAAAATTAAGAAAGCGAAAAGGCAAGTCACAGAATGGGAAAAAATATCTGCAGTACATGTAGCTGAAAATGGAATTGTATCCAGAATACATGAAGGACTTTTACTAACCAATCAGAATGGGTAAACAATTTGAATAGATACTTCACTAAAGAAAATATAATAATGGCCAAAAAGCATATGAGATCACAGGAACCTAAATCATCAGAAAATGCAAATTAAAATAAATTACTTGTACACATATATTAAAATGGTTAAAATTCAAGAGTGACAACACCAAGTGTTGGAGGGGATTTGGAGTAACTGGAACCCTCAGTCACTGGAAAACTTTCAGTTTCTCAAAATGTTAAACATGACCTAGCAATTCCATTCCTAGGTACTTACTGGAATGAAATGAAAACATGTCTGCAAAGGACTATTTATAGCACTTTATTCATAATGGCCCAAACTGGGGGGACCAGCCAGCCAGGTGAGTGAGGAGGGGGCTCAATAACTCAGCACCCCCCCTCCCAAGGCTTCTTGGAGCCTGCTCACAAGGTGACCCTGTCCCACGAGGTCTGCCCTGGTCTTCTCTAGCAGGATCCCAGCCTCTTTCAACAAGCCACAGGGAGGGGCCGGGTCTAAGTGAGGCGGCAGGTAAGGTGGGTAGCCGCCTCACCACCCACGCAGCCTGGGTGTCTCAGCCCTAAGAGGGGATGGTAACAGAAATCTCTACCTCCTAGGTTGTCTGAGGATCAGTGAAAACACATAGATGCCATGGTGTAGAACCTTGTGCCAGCTTTGTGTAGTTTGCTAACGATGTCAGTGTGTGTGTCCCCGTCACTGTACTATGTAGAAATGTGGACAATTTCATTTTACATTTGTAAAAATTAGGGCGCTGCAGGATGTAACTAACTTCAAAGGACTTTGGGTGGATTCATTTGTCAAATCTTCATAAACTGCTTTGAAACAGAGCCTTAAGGTTTGTAGAGCAGAGTGATGCCACCGACACTTGGATTTGAATCAGCAGAACAAGACTGGCAAATTGGTATATGTTGGTGTTCTCACTTAAAATAAAATGTATAGTATATGTAATACTCTTAGAGACCCCCCACCCCATTTTAAACATCTTTTTCATTTAACCAATGATGACTGGTTTCACTGCCCTGTAAAAATAACTTCTGATGAGCTTAGTTCTGGGATACCTATGTATCCCTACTGAGAAGTGTCATGGTTTTTATGTATTATTGTGGTAAAATACACACACAATAAATTTTACCATTTTAACCATTTTTAAAGTGTACCATTCAGTGGCATTAAGTACACTCAGGATGTTGTATAAGCATCATCACTATCTGGTTCCAGAACTTTTTCATCACCCCAAGGGAATCCCCTAACCCATTAGCAGTCATTCCTCCTCTCTCTCTCTCCCTTGCCACTACGGACCTACTTTCTGGGTTACCTATTCTGGACATTTCATATAAATGGTATCATGGGCTATTTGCCCTATTGCGCATTCATGATGGCTTCCATCATGGTATTTTATGTATTTTTAAATGACATGGAATTATAATTGATTTTTCGAGAGGTTTTGGAAATTTCTCACAAACCCGCCCCCATGCGCCGGGAACCCTGCGCCCCTGGGGGTTGTGCCGCCAGGCTCCCGGGTCTCCGCGTCCCTGGGGAAGCGCTCTGAAGACCGGTTGACGCCAACCTGGGTCTGCGGGGGGGTGGGGCGTGGGGGGATGGGAGCGTCTCCGCCGCCCTTGCTGCCAGGTGTCCTGCAGCCCCCGGGCCCCTCCCCAGCCGCTCCCGGCCACGCGAAGACCCTTAGATATCTGGCCCAAGGACTCTGCCCAAGGAGCGTCCTCTCTACAGGACTTCTGATTTGTTGTCCTCAGGAACGTCGGCTGAGCCCGAGGGGACACACAGATCTCTTGCGCCAGGTCTTAGGAACGTGAAAGGGACCCTGCCCGGGATCAGAGTGGTCAGGGGCGGCCTGGGGGTCCTCAACCCCGCGGGGCCTCGGCATCCCGTCTGTAAATGGGGGTGAGGGACCACGCAAGGTCTTTCCCTTCCGGCACCCCTCTGTGACTCGAGACCCCTACCCCGGCCCGCGCGTGCTCCCCGATCCCGGGACTGTGGACCCGGGAGACCCCCGCGCGCCCTTCTCAGACAGCCATTGCCATTAGCATCCCGATCCCCCAGGCCTGAGCAAGGCCCCCAGAGAGATTTCCGGGGTGGGACCGGGGTTATCTTGGCATTGCATTCCATCCTCCCCAGGCCGGTACCCTCGGCGTTGGATTCCGCGGAGCTCCGGCGGCGGGAAGAGCTTGGGTGCCGCGGACACGGGACTCCCACCCCACACCCGCGGCCCCGCGCAGCCCGCGCCCCTGCACCCCAGTACCTCCTTCGCACCGGCTTTTTCCTCTTCTTCACCGCATACCTGTCCGCGGTGGACAGCATGGTGCCCGTCTGCGGCCGCACAAAGGGGCGCGGGCCCAGGGCGTAGCCGCCCAGTGCCTGGGAAGGGGCGCCCCCGCCCGGGGGGCTGCCTGCCGGTTCGGCTCGCCACACCCGGACAGGTCGGTCCCGACCGGTTTCTCCAGAACCCGAGCGCTAGGGGCGGGGGTGGGGGCGAGGGGCGTCCGCCTCACAGCACGAGGCCCGCGGCGCACGATTAGCCAATTTTCCTCCGGGGGTCCTGTGTGCAGACAAACGCCCGTTTCCTCATCTGCAGGTGTGTGCGATACACGCAGGTGGCGAGTCAGCGCGACACAGCCCAAGTGGAAAGCGCTCGTGTCCGCGAACGAGCCCCCGGGAGGAGTCGGGAGAAGTCCTCGTCCCCACGAGCCGCGCTTCCCCTCCGCGGGTCCTTTGCGAAATAAAGCCGGACCCCAAACGGACTCCCTCGACGCGCGGCGTCAGCGCCCGGGAACGCGCTCTCTGGAAAGGGAGGTCTCCAAGGAGAGACACGTTGCAGGGGCGCAAACTCGGGGACCGAAGAGCCCCTTGCAACCTGCGGTCCATGCAGACAGAGGGACCCACCCGCCGGGCCGCCGGGACCCCATGCTGCGACCAGAGGAGCCTGCCGGAATGGTCTATTCCAGATCATCGGTGGCCACTGGCTGACATTAGACCCCTGAAGCCAAGGCCTCTGTGGGTGAGTATGTCTGTGCCCTGAAGCCTTTATACTTCATCCTATTGGCTGCGTGTGTGCGTGTGCGTGTGCGTGTGCGTGTGCGTGTGTGTGTGTGTGTGTGTGTGTGTGTGATGCTTCCGATGTTTTTGTGGGCCAGGTATTATGCAAGTAATGGAAATGCCTCCCGGCTTCCTGGGCTCAGGGGTGACAGGTGAGATGTTCTCCCGGGAAGCTCCCAGGGCTGAGCTTCCTTGATGTTTAGGTCATCCCAGGGCCCCTGTTTTAGGACCTTCAACTACTCACTTTGGCATAGGGATGAGAACAAGAAGTGCTTTTATTTTCTTTAACTGACCATAAAATGGAAAATAATAAAGGACACTTTTAAAAAGTAATAAAATACATTAGTGACTCTAGAGTCTTCAGAAAGCATAATAGGCATCTCAGTATTTTCATAGCAGCATCAGACTCCTACTCTGCTTTTTATCAAGTTGATTAGAGTACTGGAGGCATGCCCGAGTCCAGCTCCAGCGGGGGAAGGGTCCTTGAAGGAAGGGACCTTGAAGGAAGGGACGGCAAAGGCAAGTGGGGAGACACAGACACAGGATCAGGTTGCAAGCATCTCCCTCCCGATAGCCTTGGAGGGACTCTCTTTATTCATTAGTGTTTTCTTGTTTTTCATTCTTTTACTCCTGCTTAAACGTTATCTAAAGTTTATTCTTTCTCCAAAGGCAGCTTACAATGGGTGCACCCTATCTTATCAAAGTACTTATTCCATTTCTATATGTCTCCTGTCCTTGCTCCATAGACACCACGGAGGATCACTCCTTTCCCAGAGGCTGTCAGATGATGCCTGCACCCTTTTTTTCCTTTAATCTTATACCATTTGTTTTTGTCCTCATTATCAACTCCAGTATAGGGAATGGGAGGAGTAGGGGCAAGGAAGTTATCCTACACCAGGGGCTTGCCTCGAGGGGCATACCAAAGGTGGCCTCCTATTTTGTATACAACATAGGGAGGTTCCTGTGCTGTGGAATGTCATGAGATTTCTCTTTCCTAGAATCCTAATGTTTCAGAGGTGCCTGAGGAAACTCAATAGGAATTTTTACTGGGCCTGGATCCAACAGCTCCCTTACAGATCGGAGGACATTGGGTATTTTTACTTCTTGGCCCTTCGTGGGCCTTTTTGGAATCAGTTTCATTATGATTGCTTGCATAGGCATAACTAAATTTATAAATCATTTTATCATGAAACCCCAGAATTGATTATAAAGATTGCCGCAAATAAAATGAAAGGAAGTAGCAGGAGCCAGCTGTGGAGTCTCCTGATTTTTCAGGATTGTCCCTCATACTTGGACTTTGTCAAACAGCATGAGTAGCTTGGCTCGCACCAGAGGCAGAAACACTGAGTCCCAGTCTTGAGAGCACCTTGCAGCCAGGCTGTTGCAGACTTCAAAATAGCGCTCAGGTTTCCCAAAACCACCTCGGCCAACTCTGAACTGCAGTGAGAGGTGTTTAGCCAGTGGGCTGAGGAGATGAAGTTGGCAGGAAAGGGCTCTCATGCCCCGCCCCCCAGGACCAGCAGTGCCAGTGCAGCCCCTCCACAGCCATAGCTGGAGACCCCCAAACAAGTCAGAAAGTCACGGTGATGCCACAGACACTGGCTCTTCTTCCCCGGTTTCGCTCTCTTGCTCTCTCTGTCTCCTTCCCTTTCTTCCAGGTGAGAGAAAGGCCAATTCCTGCAAAATCTGGGAATGTGTTTCATGGCCTTCACCTGCCGATCCCTCTGCCTGCCGATCCCTCTGTCTGCCGATCCCTCAGCAGGTCCGGGAATTGGTACATGACAGCCTCTTTCTCTCTAATGCGAGGAGTGCCGAAAAGGGGTCTCTAAGTCCTTTACAATCTTTCCTCAAAAAAGACTTGTAAAACTTACGCTTCTGATTCAGCGGCATCTTTATTCCTAGAACCACCTGAGTTCAAATGGTGTTGCCTAACTTCCCTGTCTGTGGTGTCCTCCAGTGTTTTTCTCTGCCTATTTTTAAAAAACAGATGAGGTAGATATTGTGTATATCAAACTGGGCCCCTTTCTTTGGACTTTATAACAAGGAAAACTTAGTAATAATTAATTAGATAAGGGGTGTAGATAGGCTTCCTAAAAGAACCAGGATGTGTGTTTCAGTTTATGATTGGACATGCTATGTTCATTATTCAGCAAGGGCGCTGGGTCTTGGGGCCTAGCACTCTTGGTGGAGGAGCCAACGTTTTTAGGGTGTGTTGGCTCTTTATTGAGGCCATCAGTGAGGCAGTATAAGACTGATACATTCGGTTTCAGACCTGTTGATTTGAGGGCAGAAGGCTGTCAGCTGGAAAAGTATCCTGAGATTTAAGAGATGCACTCTGGGGCGCCTGGGTGGCTCAGATGGTTGAGCTTCTGCCTTCGGCTCAGGTCATGATCCTGGGGCCCTGGGATCGAGTCCCGCATCGGGCTGCCTGCTCCTTGGGAGCCTGCTTCTCCCTCTGCCTCTCTCTCTCTCTCTGTCTCTCATGAATAAATAAATAAAATCTTTAAAAAAAAAAAAGAGATGCACTCTGCCTGTGGCCAGGGACCAGGGCCACTTAAAATTCAGCAATTGTCGACCTTCTTGAATTGCAAAAGCTGAATTATTTGCCCTATGGCAGAGTTAGGGAGGGGCCATCAAACTGTAGTATTCTGGAAGCTGGGATGTGATAGCCTGGAGGGTCAGGGGGATCCTGGACCCTGAGCCCCTCTTGCTATGCCTGCTGCTGATGAAGGTTCTGACCTGCCTCTCGGCACCTCTGCATCTGCCATAAATCTGGGTGTGGTTGTGGCCTGGGGCCTGAGCAGGCTTCTGGGAATGGTTGGGGCTGCCTGGATACCTCAGTTCTTTGTTCCCACTGCTTGGAGGCAGAGAGGAGGCTGGGCCAGAAGCCACTGACTAAAGTCATAGAGACAGGGGCAATTGTCATGGCAGGAAATAAATCAGTTGGCATCAAAATGGTGTTTGAGATGGTATCAGCGGAGGGTGACCTGCCTCAGGAGCCTCTTACTGTTTAGTCCCCTCCAGGATGGTTACCTCCACCCTCAGAATGTTGTCCCCAGGCTATAACCCTTCCCAGCACCCCTCTCAGGCAAGGCCACAGAGAACAGAGGGAACAGAAATCAAATCTTCCATGCAGGTGGAGCCCAGCCAGCCAAGCTGTCCATTGATCAGGACCTCACTTCCTGCCTACCCAGAGGGGCATGATGTGTTATTCAGAACACTGATGACTGGATTTATGTTGCCTTTTCTGAAAGAGTTTTTATTCTGATTGTTTTATTTTCCTCCTTGATTAGGTTAGGTATCTGGGTAACTGTTAAATCCGTGGCACCTAGAGGTTGCAAGATCATGAAACTCAACATTTTCATCTTCCATGATGCGTGGACAGCACCTCCAGGTCTTCAGCTTGTTGCAGTATGATCTACTTGGATCCAGTCCTGAGCCATCTTCCAAGGGAAGAGGAGGAGTACTTTTATGATTGAAAGAAGGATTGTTGCATTATGGTAAGTGCAGTCATTTTTTGAATTATCAGTTAGGGAAAGGGTGTGTGTGCGTATATACACGCATGCACACATGCATGCACACTCAGGAGCCAAGGGATGGACTGTAGTTGAACATGTCTTGTTTTTTGTTTGCTCTGCTGAATTAATTTTCAATCACTGTTGTAACAAATCACTTGGTGGCTTAAAACACAAATTTATTCTCTTTGAGTTCTGTAAGGAGTCAGAAGTTTAATACAGGTGCCATCAGGCTAAACTGAAGGTGTTAGCAGGGCTGCATTTCTTTCTGGAGGCTCTAGGGGAGAAGTTGTTTCCTGTTCATTCAGCTTGTTGGCAGGATTCAACAAGTTGTAGTGCCAAGGTCTCCATTTTCTTGCTGGTTATGAGTTGGGGGTCATTCTCAGCTTCTTCTTCTTTTAAGATTTATCTATTTATTTGAGAGAGAGAAAGCAAGCATGGGCAGGAAGGGCAGAGGGAGAGGGAAAGAGAATCCAAAGCAGACTCTGTGCTGAGTGTGGAGCTGGACTCGGGGCTTAATCTCATGACCCTGAGTTCATGACCTGAGCCAAAACCAAGAGTCAGACACTTAACTGACTGCACCACCCAGGCACCCCCATTCCCAGCTTCTAGAGGCCAATCATATGCCTTGGTTTGTGGCTCCTTCCTCCATCTTCAGTGCCAGCAATGTGAGCCCAGTCCTCCTCACAGACTTTTCTGCCTGCCTTCTCCATGGACTCATCTCATTAGATTGGGGCCACTTGAATAAATCCAGATAATTTCCTTATTTCAAGGTCAACTGATAAGGTAACCTTAATTCTCTTGCATGTAGCACAACATATGCACAGATTCTGGGGATTAGGTAGCCATCTTTGGGGTACAATCATTCCACCTGCCATAGTTACATGCCTAGGAAAGGGAGGACTTAAGGGTGGTAGACTCTGCATATGATCAGTTTTACCTGATTCTGCGAAATCATTTTCTAAAGTGGTTGTACTCACTGAACACTATTCTGTTTCGTTGATCTATTTGTTTATTCTTATGCTCATACTGTCCGAGTTAATATAGCTTTTTATTAGTAAGTCTTAATATCTGGCAAAGTAAATCTTCCTTCTTCTTTGAGATTGTATTTGCTATTTTAGTCTTGCATGTCCATGTAAATTTTTTTTATGTAAATGTTTTAATGAACTTGTTGACTTCCACAAAACCTGCTGTAATTTTGAATGGGATTGCTTAGATTCTACAGATAATTTGGGGGAAGAATTCACATTTTATAATAGAGTCTTCTAATTCATGGATGAGGCATATCTCTCTTTATTTGGGTCTTCTTTAAGT